ATCAAAGTATCAGCATGAGCTTGTTAGCAGAGTTTAGTTACTCACAGGTGTTTGATCTTAGCTCCTAGCTGACTACTGCTGGGAGGCATCAGCCTTGAGATTAAATAGACTCACCCCATGGGCCCTGATCAGAGCAGTGGGCAAGAGATCAGAAGACTAAAATCACCACCCTTATAACTTAATTCTAAAATGATGACCACCATTTTGGCCATTTCCTCTGTTAGAAGTGAGCTACTAGGTCCTACCCACTCTCCAGGGAGGGAGATGACCTGGGCCTGATTGGGGTGTAGGGAAACTTCCAGGTGCCCACACAGGGATGGGACTGGTCACCAGTGTCCTAAGTAAAAAGGAGCTAGGACAAAATCCCACAGTTATTCACTTGTGGTGCTCCTACTCCCCCAGAGTAGCTGTCTCCTTTTTCTTTCCCCATCCTTTTCCAAATATACTGTCCTTTATTTTAAACTCGGTCTCTTTAATTCATTACTCTTGCTGAATTTATGATCCCAGTAGCTGTGCGTCCTAGACAAGGAGTGGTGCATACATCCCACCTACCCACAAGGGGAAGGGAGGTCATTGGGAGCCATCTTTGAAGCTGCATCTGATACCATCCAGTTATAAGTCTCCCTTCTTCCTTTTAATATAGATAACTTTGGTGCAATTGGAGCTACAGGGCACTCCCCTCTACTCATTGCTGGACCACTACTCCCCTCCACTCACCTGAACCTGGGCAGTGACCCAGGGCCAATGCCCCGCCCCACCCCTTTTGTCCTAAGGCTCACTACTCAGAGGCAGAGATAAGAAAACAGAACCCCAAGGCCCCTGGAAAAAATCAAACTCCCAAGCCAGGAGGCATCTATGCTAGATTTTCCTGCATGACCTACAGTAACCTTTCTTCACCTGAACTCACTGAAGTTGCATGCATACGGACTGCATCTCATACATCCAACTGCCACAGAGTGAATTATGGGAATGGACATGCCCAATAGACACGGACGACATGACTCAGCACCCGGTCAATCACATTGTTAATCAACCTCTGCAAGACCCAAGGAAAGGCACCCTAGAATTTGAGCAATATTTTAAATCCCTAAACCCAATGCTTTCAGTGCTCACCATTTTCTCTTCACCAGCATGAGCCCCCTCACTCTCAGCATACTGCTGCCTAATTAAACTTTATTGCTGTTTCCTTACCATTGCATGCTATCCAATACTTTGTTCATTGTGCATAAACATGGAGGAACCTTCCAGGAACCCCATCTCCTGTGGTAATGGTATAGGGGAAATAAATGAAGCTCTCGACCTGCTAGATGTCAGATATGCCCAGTTCATCTTCCCCAAAATTGATTAATGAATTCTAAGGAGCAATAGAAGTTAAGAGTAGGAAATATTTATTGGGAAGGAAAGTTCCTGAGAGACAGGAGGGGACCGAAAACGGGTTGCCAATGAGTTCTCCTCAGAAGAAGTTTTATAGAGCAAAAATCAAGAGGTGGGTACAACATGGGTCAAAATTATGATCAACCAATAAGATCACAAATATAGCCACATAGGTAATATTGATCCAATGGGGAAGCAGGTCTCGTAGCAAGTATACTTGGCAAGACCAAAGAACTTCTTTAGAAAGGGATAGATCAGGGGATCTTGGTCACCCATGGGGAGACTGATATCTATTAAGACTTTACTGGACCAGGAGATACCAGTTATCCTCCGGGGAGGGTATGTAGGCCTGGTCATTGTGTCTTTATCTTGAGGCCTGGCCTCCTACAGATGCAATGTGTTCTCATCCTCTGCCGTGACCCCCTCGAGGGCCTAGCCCTGTCTGACTGCATAGAATACTTCTACCTAACTTAGCTGTCTATAACGTTAACACTTAGACAGGAAAAGGGGATCCTTATTCTTCACGAACTAATGTGAGCCACAAAGACAACATTCCCTTTCCCATCATATCACACCTATGGATTACGTCACCAGAATGGAACAGCCCAGGCCTCGCTGAAGTTGGTCTTCTGGTAACAATTCCAGATATTTACAGATGAAATTACTATGTGGCAAACGCTTGAACCCTTGAGCGAGTTGTGCCCCTTTGCATGTTGCTACACCTCCTTGGCCTCAGCTTTCTTGTCTGTAGATTGGAGATAGACTGTAACCATCGCTACCTCCTAGGCTGTCGTGAGAGTTAACATGTACATGTAATACCTAATACACGTAAAACACTAACTGAAAGTAATATTGAAACCTATAGTACAATTGAGGGTATGGGACCACTCCCCTCCACTCACCTGAATCTGGACAACACCCAGAGCCAGACTCCCTAAACTTCATCCTAAACCCTACTACCTGGAGGCAAAGATAAGACCCTTGGAAATTCTAGACTCCCAAACCAAGAACCATACATGCCAGATCTTCCAACGTGACCTACGGAGACCATTCTTCCACTTGGGACTTGCCCACTAAAGGCTCATACGCCCAATGACAGCAGAAGTGCATTGTGGGAAAGGACTTGTGTAGTAGGCACAGCTGCCATGACTCGGCACCCTTCAGGCACTGTCCACCATGTCCCAAAAGCCCCAGTTAGGAAGTGCCTCAGCCCAGCCCAACATTTCAAATTCCTAAACCCAACACACCCACATCCCTGCCAATTTGCTTTCCACTAGCACAAGCTCGCTCACTCTGAGTATACCTCCACCCTTTAAATTTCATTAGACTTTGCTGCTTTTTCAAAAAGCAGGCTACACACAGGCTACATTCCACGCTTTGATCATCACACACAAGAACCTAAAAAATCTGTCCCAGGACCCCATCGCCCATGCTGACAAAAGTATATTAATTCTCACTCATTTCAGGTCTTGTCCCATTTATCACTCCACTAACCAGTTACACTAAAACTTTGCAGTTTAAGGAAACCATTTAACTGCACTCACGGAATCTGAGGGAGAGGAGTCTGACAGGCTAATGGGCACAGCGTGTCTGCTCCACAGTGTCCGGGGCTGCAGCTGGAGTGCGGACCATCTGGGAGCTTGACCTGGAGCTGGGCCAGGGAGCAGTCCCAAAATGGTGGCTCCCTGCACACGTGTGTGACACGGCACACAGGCTGGAGAAGCCTGCACCCCAGGGAGTTCGGGGCCTGCCCGTGTGCACTGGTTGAGTAGGAAGTAGTGGTGGGATCCCCTGCCTGCCTGACTCCCAGAACTCCAGGCTCATACCCGCCGCCCGCCTGTTTCCACACGGACGCCCAGCACTGCAGCACACAGCTGACACAGAACTCTCCACCTCTTGCCCCAGCCCTGAGCTGCTCCTCTTTCAGTAGGTGAACCCTCGCTGCCCTTTCACTCTGCCTACTCTTCTCTGGCCCAACTCTCACCTGCGCCGAATGCACATATCTCTCCTCTCCCAGCAGGCTCCCAGTGGCTCCCTGCTCCCGCTCTTGCTCCTGTAACCCTTTTAGAGCTCCCCAGGCATTTGTCAATACAGATGAAGCCCATGTTTCTGACCCTTCCAAGGCCCTAAAGGGTCAGGCCTTAGCCAGTCCCTTCTGGGCTTCTCCCTTCTGCTCTGACTGTCCACGCCCAGGCTCCAAACCCTGTGATTTCATCTCTGCTGTTCTTTACACCCTACTAACTTGTTCTCACCCCAGGGCTTTTGCCCTTGCTATTCCTTCCTCCTGGACTCCCAGGCCTCAGCTCAGGGGTCCCCTCCTCAAGTAACCCCATCCCCTGCTAGTGGGGTGAGGAGCGCCCCTCAGTCCTTGTGTTCTTGAAGAAAGATTTCAGTGAAGACACAGAAAAACATTGTGGACATCGAGACAGAATTTATTGAGAAGCAGTGGGAGGCAAAAGTACACCCTTAAGGGAACGGTGGGCCAAACCAAAGTGGCCAGTGGCCAGGGTGGCAGTGGGTTTCCTTTTGTGTATGGACAGTAATTCTTAGGGCTTAGGGCATTATGGTATAGTGGTCATCAATGCTTTGTTTCCGTGGTGACCATGCCTAGGACATTCTGTCTTAGAAGTTATCTCTGGAATGTCTACCTTTCACTGTTATAAAAGTTCTTTGTTCTTTCCAGGTGGTCGGAGTTTTTATTGAAGTACACCATGATAGTCTAGCTTTTAGTTTAATGTGCATACTGTGAGTTGATCTTGAAATGTCACTTGCTATTATCTATTGTTGTCAGTGTGCCATTGGCCGTAGCAGCCAAGGATGCTGAGCGTGTAACAGTCTGGTTTTAAGAAAAAAAAAAATGATCCTGAAGTCTCACTTAGTGCAGCTGCACTGCCTGATCTTAAGATTTCTCTCTGCTGGGGGAACATTTTTGACCCAGTATTGTACACTGAGGTCTTTATGTCTTTAACTACAATTGGCAAAGCAGTTTTTTTTTTATAGCTTTTGCCCCTTTGTCTTTTTGTCTACTAATGTGTAACCGCCTGCCTTGTATGCCCAGCCCAGTACCCTGGTTTAACTCTCGGCCCAGCCTTGCTGGATAGCTGATATTTTTTGTGGCTCTTTTTGCTGTGTATTTTTCTTCTGGAGTTGGAGTTCAATCTCCTTAAGAACAAAACTCACCAATCCACCCAAGCCCTGGGGAGCACCTGGCAAGGATAGGCGTCCAAACCTGAGTGTGGCATGAATGGGTGGTAAGAATGTGAAAGGGTGAGCAGCGTGTGTGTGTGTGTGTGTGTGTGTGCGTGTGTGTGTGTGTGTGTGTGTGCAAGGTCAGGCAAGTGTGGGCCACTGTGACTGGGGACTCTCCCATTGCGGCAAAGCCGGCGGGCCTTACTCCAGGGAGAACCTCTGGCGGGACCTGAGTGTCCCACTCGTCCTGCC